CCGTGTGTGGCTCTCTGTGGGAACTCCTCGCCTCCCGAGACAGGGGGCACGGGGCGGGGCGGGGGACACACCAGTAGCCCGCCGTCGCCGGGGGGAGAAGCCCCGCACAGGCGGCGGAGCTCGGCCAGCGGGGCCTGAGGGGCGAGGGGCCGAGAGTCGTATTTAACAGCCCCCCGTGGCCGGCCGCGGTGCTCCGTGCGCCAGCCTTCCCACACGCCGAAGTTCCCACTTTGCAGATCCTCGGCTCTTTCTTCCTTTTTCCCCCCCCCTCCACACCACACCCCCGTCATCACCATGAAGGCCCTCTTCGCTGTCCTCCTCCTCGCCGTCATGGCCACCGCCGCCTCGGCCCAGATCGACGAGAACACCCTCGTCCCGGTCATCCTCGCCGAGGATGCCGAGGTCATCCCCGGCCAGTACATCGTCGTCTTCCGCCCGGAGGTCTCCCTGGAGCATGCCCGCATCTTCGCCGACTCCATCTCCATCGGCCGCGTGTTCAACATCGGCAACGAGTTCAAGGCCGTCGCTGGCCCGATCTCCGAGGACCTGCTGGCCCGCATCCGCCGCCGCAGCGACCTGATCGACTTCATTGAGCCCGACCAGATCGTCCGCGTCGATGCCTCCCAGTCCAACGCCACCTGGGGTCTGGACCGCTCGGACCAGGCTTCCCTCCCCCTGAACAGCAAGTTCAACTACTACGACTCGGCTGGCTCTGGCGTCAACGTCTACGTCGTCGACACCGGTATCAACCACGGCCACACCGACTTCGGTGGCCGCGCCAAGAACGGCTACAACTTCCACGGCGGCAACTCCAACGCCAACGACGACAACGGTCACGGCACCCACTGCGCCGGTACCGTCGGTACGTAGCATCATCCCCGGCGGGGAGAGGGGCCCCTCGGGGCGCTGGTGTTTCTTCTCCCGATGCATTCTCCCCCCCTCCTCCTCCTCCTCCAGAGCCACTGACAATGTGCCCCCGTCTCTCTTCCCCTTCCCAACCTCGCACACACACACACACATGCACACAGGTGGCAAGACCTGGGGTATGGCCAAGAAGGCTACCCTCTACTCGGTCAAGGTCCTCGGTGCCAACGGCTCCGGCTCCCTGTCCAACGTGGCCGCCGGTGTCTCCTGGGTCGCCGAGCAGCACAAGAAGTCTTCCAACAA